GGATTTACGGCTGTCAATATTGACACTTGGCTTGCTGTCACTCCTCAACTTATCGCTCGAATCAATCAGCCCAATATCAGAGTCCGCGGTGCAGTTCACAGGTTGCTTGCCGAGGTTGGCAAAGCGCATCCTCAAGCCCTTGTGTATCCACTGACGGTAGCAATGAAATCGAACGTGACCCGACGCTCTCAATCTGCTAGCAACATCATGGAAAGTATGCGCCAACATAGCGCCAAGCTGGTCGAGCAAGCAGACCTTGTCAGTCATGAGCTTATCCGGGTTGCGGTGCTGTGGCATGAGCTTTGGCATGAAGGTCTGGAAGAAGCCTCCCGTCTCTATTTCGGTGATAACGATGTTGACGGCATGTTCGCAACACTTGCTCCCTTCCATGATATGCTAGACAAGGGCGCTGAGACCCTTCGTGAGGTGTCATTTGCGCAAGCTTTCGGTCGTGATTTGGCTGAAGCCAAGCACTACTGCATGATGTTTCGCGAATCAGATGAAATCGGCGATCTCAACCAAGCTTGGGACCTGTATTACACCGTATTCCGCAAGATCAGCCGACAACTGCCGCAGCTATCAACTCTGGATCTGAAATACGTGTCTCCTCGACTCAAGGATTGCTCAGACCTTGATCTTGCCGTTCCAGGAACATACCAGAGTGGTAAGCCAGTTATTCGAATTATGAGCTTTGACCCCATCTTGCATGTCTTGCAGACAAAGAAACGACCGCGTCGTATGACGCTCAAGGGCAGCAACGGTAGCTCTTACATGTACCTTGTCAAGGGTCATGAAGATATCCGACAAGATGAGCGAGTCATGCAACTTTTCGGTTTGTGCAATACCTTGCTGGACAACGATAGCGAGAGTTTCAAGCGACACCTGTCGGTTCAGCGCTTCCCTGCTATTCCATTGTCTCAGAGCTCTGGTCTTCTGGGATGGGTATCCAACAGCGATACATTCCATGCCTTGATCAAGGAATACCGTGAAAGCCGTCGGATTCTGCTCAATATTGAGCACCGGATCATGCTACAAATGGCACCCGACTACGATAGCCTTACCCTTATGCAGAAGGTTGAAGTCTTCGGTTACGCTATGGACAATACGACCGGCAAAGATCTGTACCGTGTGCTATGGCTCAAGAGCAAGAGCTCCGAGGCATGGCTCGAGCGCCGTACGAATTACACTCGATCGCTTGGTGTTATGTCTATGGTGGGCTACATCCTCGGTCTGGGAGACAGACATCCATCGAACTTGTTGCTGGATCGTGGTAATGGCCGTGTGGTTCATATCGACTTCGGTGATTGTTTCGAGATCGCGATGCACCGAGAGAAGTACCCGGAGCGAGTTCCGTTCCGACTTACTCGCATGTTGACATTCGCCATGGAAGTCAGCAACATTGAGGGTAGCTACCGCATCACTTGTGAGGCTGTCATGCGTGTTCTACGAGAGCATAAAGATTCCTTGATGGCGGTTTTGGAGGCTGTAAGTACCTGATTTCTGGATGTTCTCGAACCACACTAACTTTAACTCTTCTAGTTCATCCACGACCCTCTAATTAACTGGCGTCTGGGTGCACAAGACTCATCCCCAGACCGAGTTTCTCTCACCGCGGATCGTCGCCAGTCTATCATGGACGGTGTCAATTTCGAACCCGGTGCGCAGCCGCCGGGCGAATTCTCCCGTCGCCGCCGCCCATCCATACTTGAAGGTGGTATTCTCGATGCTCCGGAAGGCGTTCCACAAGAAGCCCGCGAGGCACAGAATGCCCGTGCTCTCCAGGTTCTCGCCCGAGTCAAGGAGAAGCTCACTGGACGAGACTTCCGAAATAGCGAAGAGCTGAGTGTCAGCGACCAGGTGGACAAGCTCATTGCGCAGGCAACCAATGTTGAGAATATCTGTCAACATTGGATTGGATGGTGTAGTTTCTGGTAATCCGGCTTTGCTCTTGGAGTTCTATGGCGATGGCGATGACGATATGATATGATGCGTTTTCTTTCGGTTCTTCATCTTGTATTTAGAACCAACCCCCGTCATTTGCTATTTTCGCGTTTTTATTTTCAACTTCTTCTACTACATCTCTAATGTTTCTGCTTTATGGTTAATTCTGCCTCATTGGTAGTTATTTGAGGCCATACTGATATCCCGACTATGAAAGAGGAAAATAGAAGATATTCATTTTATTATTCCCGTTTTATTCGACACATTCAATGTATCACATAGTTAACACACTCCATATCAGAGTGTATCGTAATTCTAGATCACGTGATCGGTGGCGATTAAGGCTTTAGATTTACCCGTGGACCCTCGGACAACAACTTGCTCATACCAAGCTCCTTTACATTCTATTCCTCCTATTTCCAGGCATCATGGGTGGAGACTTGAACCTTAAGAAGTAAGTACCTTGTTCCGGCTTCAATACCTACTTCAAGAGAGAAGCATAACGCTAACCGTCCAACCAGGTCATGGCATCCAGGCTTGATCAAGAACCAGGAGCGTGTATGGCTGGAAGAGAAGCGCGCTCTCGACGAGCGCAAAAAGATTGCGCAACTACAGCGTGAAAGAGAGGAGGAGCGCCAGATGGAGGAGATTCAACGCCTCCAAGAAGCCTCCGGAAAAGCAAAGCAACACAGTCGAGTCGACTGGATGTACCAAGCACCCTCGGGCGAGACCGGGCACTACTCGGAGGAGATGGAGGGATATCTGCTGGGAAAGCGCCGCATCGATGGAGTCCTCCTGAAGAAAGATCCGGACACTAAGAAGCTGGAGAAGGGTTCGGAGGTGGTGGGTAATGGTTCCGCGGCCGGTCCATCTATTGTCTCGGCGCGCGACACCATGTCGAAGGTTATGGCGGACCCGCTACTCGAAGTGAAGAAGAGAGAACAAGCGGCCTATGAGGCGATGGTGAAAGAGACTCTCAGGCGCAAGGAAAGAGAGAAGGAACGCGGAGATCGCGATCGGGGAAAGGATCGTGATCGTCGCCATCGTACCCACGACTCAAAGCGCAGGCGCTATAGTGATGATGCCGGTGACGAGCGCCGTGAGCGCCACCACCGACGGTCTTCACCTCGACGACACCGATCTAGATCACCCGCTTCGCCAGATCGGTCTTCGCGCAGACACCGAAGTGACCGTGACCGTGAACGCCGCGACGACGAATACCGCCCAGACAACCGTGATCGCAGGAGCGACGAGAACCGTTCTCGCCGGGACGATAGAGACCGGGGCCGAGACCGTCGCGACTACCATGACAAGAGAGACTCCCACTCCAGCCGACACCAAGATCGCGAAGACAGAGGTGGACGAGACCGCTCACCATCCCGGAACTCTCGATCTCCTCGGCCTTCTAGCGATCGCAAAGAACGCCCCGCCGCCGACGAAGATCGGAGTCGTGACTTCCCCCGACGCGAATACAACAATCGGCGCGACTCTGCCAGGGGCGCCATGGGGCCACCCTCGACCCGTACCCCAACGAACAAGCCCGATCCCAAGGAACTTGAAGAAGAGCGCCGTCGTAAATTGGCAGAGATGCAATACAATGCCACAGAAATCGAATCAGAGCGACGCCGGCGACTCGCGGAGATCTCTGCCAAGGAAGAAGAGCAGCGGGAGGCTGATGATCGGCAGCGTTCAGACCGGGGCAGGTTCATGTCTGATGTCAATAAACGGGTGCAGGAGGATACTCTCGATGAACGCATTCGGCGTAGCCGTGGTGGACTTTCGAAGATGGAGAAGGATTAATGAAGACGGTCTTCATCTCTGCGTGGGATTAGGCATTTGTTGTTCTCCTTTTAGCGTTACCAGAAGTTTTGATACACAAGTCATCGATATCCAATATTTCAGCCTTTTTAGTGTCCTGCAAGTATATCTCGCCATTCATATCCTTCTAGATATCTAGGGAGCTATGGAGCTCGTCACTTACCGACACGAACCACGGCGGTATACTGCATCTCGTTTCGAGTGACGGGATCGGCACACTGAGGAGAGTTGATCTTTTTTAGGATTCCAGTAGGGCTTTATATCCTCGCTTCTTCCGACTGTATTTCTCTTTTGGACTCTGCTTCATTAGATTGTCCCCATGATCGAGGCTCAATGTGTCCGTCGGTGCGTTGGCGCTTTAATTCGCACTTTCGCAAAATTTCTTTGTCGTTGTTAGAACGATTTCCTCCACATGCTTCTTTCGCTTGAAGACCGTCAGCTTACGGGCAGTGGATAGTGTGGCTTGGTCGACAATCACGGCTTGCGGTTTGAAAATTGGCCTCTGAAATACCGAACGTACTCAGGCTTATAGGAGGCAATCGTCGGTAGGCATTTGGCTAGTCACCCATAGGAGGGCAGGTAATCTTTGAATCCTATATCTAGATAAAGGGAAAATGACAAAACTAATATTTAGTTAAGAATCTAGTATCACCACCAATATCAACGGTTTATATCAGATTGTCGCCGAAGTACTAACCAAGCCTTGCTGTAACGTACTAACAAAGACCATTGAACCTTAGAAGCGAGACTTCTGTTTTTCGATACGGGATAATTTGGCTGTGATTGCGGCCGATATTATCCCTCCTTACACTTGTTATATATTGGGCCATGAAGTCCAGTATCCAATACTGAATCCACACTTTTATTACTCTTTACGTCTTGCTCATTGTAGATCGTCATTGATTCTCGAAAACATACATATATCTCTCTCAACTCTGCCAAAATAAGAGCCTCGCTTACGTTTCATTGGATCCTTTCCGATCCTTTCCCGCATTGTTGTGGTAGGCTCCTAGCTCACGTATAACTACGAAGTGATTTACTTTTATTAGGGTTACTTGGCCAACGTCTCTATCAATGGAGATCTTCACACACTATGCACTGAGTGCATCCTAAAGTCTGGTCCTGTCTGCACTTTCTTGGAGTTCATTTATAGCATCGAGACCGATTATGATTCCGATTCCTACTCAAGGACAACGAGCTAGGATCGACCACTAGGCCTGAAGATTTACAAGAGCTGGCCGATGCAACGACTGGACGGGGGTATAATAAATATAATCTACGAAAATTTGGTCTCAGATGACGAGCAACGGCACAGTATGCTCCTGGGCGACCAACATCCTGATCAACGCGCGACAACCGCCTAACTGTTCTAGCGGGGGATCTTCTTGCTCCAAGCCAAGACAGCGCTACTGTATGGTCACGCAGAGCGCAGGCAGGACAATCTCAAGACAAGAAAAATTCACTTCGTGCATATTACGTCGGTGCGGTGATTGCGGAGCGAACTGTTGTGTTGGAGGATGAGTTGGTCTCATTCCAAGACATCGACTGGCAACAACCAGCGGTGCAAACCACTTTAAAGTATGGAACAACAGAGCAGGGTCAGTAGGAATCATTTGCGGATTTTGCCCAACAAGAATCCGGAACCATATGATGACCATACAGAGTATCCGCACGCAGTCCGATTCATTGAGGAGCCTTGAAAGCTGCAGAGCGATTGGGTAGCTTAGATTTGAAATGTGGCTTTGTGATTTACTGTGTAATATCTCTATCGCGATTAGTATCTGTATATTATTCCCGAGGTCGTCTAGTCCACTCACATGTCACCCCGCACGGCGATAAAACCCGATTGGGAAATGTCAGGGCTAGACTTGTTTGCCTCTCTTGCCTTCTTCTCTCTTTATATAGTTATGAGAGCCCTGCCTTCAACAGAACAGAAAGCTCAATAATGTCAAGTCTCAACAACACCGATGGTCCACTCCAGGTCCCTGGATTTGGCTCCATTCCCTTGGACTATGAGCTCCCCACCGCGACCCGCTTTGCCCATGCGCTAATTGAATATCGCCATTCGCCCCGGTTGACAAAGCGCGAGATGACCATGATCCGACTTATGCAACATATAACGGAACAGCCCGGGTGGGACCAAGCGCTGCTGGATCCGGATGAACCTCGGCTCGCGCAATGGCACCAAGAGGCAGTAGCAAGTGAAGAGTCTCTTATCAGTGCACCAGCCTGGGATTGGTGCATCGCAGAGCTACGGGACAAGGCGCAGACCTGGCAAGAAACCGGCCGTTTGCTAGTATTTGACAGCTCTTCTGCTGTATGCCAGGCTAATGTGCCACTGCCGCAAAAGGATATCCAGACAGAGGTAGCCCGATTAGGAACGCAAGCCAGTCACGACTCTCCTCTGGTAGATCCATCCGAGTTCCCCCTTGTCTATGACCGGTCCCCGGTGTTGGTCGAAGGCGGACAGGTATCTCTTGATGACCCCTGGCATTTGACCGGACAGACTGCGAAAGAGCTGCCGGTCCATCCCCTTGAACAAACGCGTAGGCGCCATAATAGGCCCCGGCGCCATGATAGGCGTCACAGGGATGAACAGAAGAGTTGTTGGTCCAATCGATTTCAGTGGCTGCCACGTGAGGTAGAATTTACTTCCTCGCCTCATCACACACCCGATGTTCGCATCACCTCTTATGTCAATAATCTACACCCGCACAGCCACCGAAATTTATATGCTCACCTAGAGCGCCTGATTGCTCGTTATATCCCTTCCTGGAATGAGATCCTGTTCTAGGGAGAAGCACGCGGTCGTCATCCGCCACGTATCCTCACCTATGGTTGCCACATCGAAAACTACCAGGAAGAGCATAAAGTCTTTGAAAGACTTTCCCTTCGGATAGGTCCCCCTTAAGTAGAAATATCATTAGCTCTAAACTATAGAGCTTCGTAGAGACCTTAGCTCCTACCATACGGCTTTTGAATATAAAGGTTATAGAATAGAAAAGTAGCAACCATCTTCTACTAGCTTTTGAGTTTGTATTCGATGCAAAACTCGCAATTGTCTCGCTTAATCTCGTTTGTCATTCTGGGAAGGTGCGAGGGCGAGGGCGTGGTCGTTCCTGCCTGTCTGGTAAGTACGACCCTTCCCAGATCGTCACACTGACGGCTCCTAGCCGCCAGATCGTAACACTTAATACCATAGCTTTATCCCCTCATATACCTTTACTATTAGTTATATATAATGACGAGAGGACTATAAACCTATTAAAAAGTGAGGGTATAGCATATAAAACGAAGCTTCGATATATGGATATTTATCGCTACTAGCTGAGATAAGAGGTTAGAGAGGGACGCATTAAGGTAAAATGGGTTGCTAAGCGAGTATGGTTACCGATAGACTCACTAAGGTGCTATCTCGACAGAAGCATAAGAACTTCATAAGGTTGCTTAGGATGGTAGATATCAGCCATCTAATAGCCTAGAAGATAAATGCTTTACAGGATCTAGCAAGCCCATACTGCACTTACTGAGGGGTGTTTCGGAGTATACGGACCGGCTTACCGGATCAAATAACTTCTCGAGTCCTGACCCACATGACAATGATTAGCCTTGAAAGTCATAGTTCAGCCGTACGGCAATCCTGGACGATCCCGTCTGGTGGGGGTAAAATGTGTGCCATACACAGACCGTTGTCTCCAATCCACCCAAGGTTCGGCGGCGCCCCGACTGTGGCTCACAAGGGAACAGAAAAGATAAATTCTCATGAAATTCTCATGTCTCACCAAAGAGCTCGCATTGGTTGCCATTAATTAATCACTATGCAGTCTATACGAGACGGCGTGGCATCATTGAGACAACACAAAGCGCAGGATCACTTTCGGCCCACCGGAAGAGGCTTTCAAATTCAATTTGAAGTCTCGATCGCACCAGATCAGCGGACTCCATTATGCTTAATGCTACCGCCTGCCGCTCAAAGCCTAACCCGACGCCGGACCACGACGCTAGACAAGGTTGTTTTTGTCATACCTGTCCAAATTGTCTCGAAAAGGAAAGAGTCGACGTTCTCGGGCCTTTTGGTCTGATCTCAAAGACGTGATTCACAAAATTGATCCCTGCACCATGAAATCTACACCTAGCGGGTCCGAATCTGTGCACCACAGAGCTAAGATAAGAGCAAAAGCGGAATAGAGTGGATAATGTGCTTATAAAATATGACTTATGTCGGAGTAACCGTATGTGTAAACAATCAATGGTATCCAATCGTCTGAATTTCTGTATTGCTTACAGCAGGTGCCGGGGGAGTGTATAGGCGACGAATCGTTTCACGCACGGCTCCTGAGTGAAATTGCAGGTCATGGAGCTCGCTGGTTGATCAGGCCGAATTGTTGATTGCTGCTATCCTAGCCCACCGGGTTCTTGATGAGATCGGGGATGAGTCCCTGAACAGATTTCAGGTATTCCAACACCGGCCTGAGGACTTTGAGAGAGTTACTGATATGGTTCAGTAACTGGCATACATCATACTTGGAGTCGAGTATGCGCTTGTTAGTGTTAGGTGCAGAATTGTCTCAAGCCCCTGACAGCGGGGGCCATTGGCTGCCTGGCGCCATATTGAGAAGCAATATAAAATTGGTATCAATAGATGGAGTGGGAAGTTGCGAGAAACTTACAATTACTATGGATATCGTAGCCCAAGGCATTGTGGTGCAATTCCGAACATTAGATATGCGCGGGAATAGATGTTTGTTTCGCCAGTGCTAGTGTGCAGTAGTAATAGCAACCACGATCCTACGGCGTATCCACCTCCAATGTACCCCCCAGTAGATGGTCTATTCCCTAATTAGCAAGGCCCGACAACTTATGCCGATTTCAATCCGGTTGGACATCGCCTGAACCCCGCCATGCTTTGTTTGAAATAAGCAGTCGGTCGCCGCACACGATGGTGAAGTCTTGCTTGCTATCTCGGTTTCGTTAGTAAACCAGCCTCGGATTTTTTATGCTCCAACCGTACGTTTCACGATTGTCATCACGTCTAACATGTCGATGGTTTCCCAAGTCCCTTTTCAACTCTCCGGTCGGTATGCCGAGCACAATCGGTGGGAGGTTCTCGACGGCCCAAGCGACTCGCGTGTAACCGGAAGTCAAATTATCGAGGATGAAGGTCTTCTTGGCCAGTGGGCAGACAAGGTTGTCCTGATCACCGGCGTTTCATCTGGGATCGGTGTTGAGACTGTACGTGTCTTGGCATCTACTGGAGCGACTATCTTTGGCACAGCCCGAAACATCGAAAAGGCAAAGGAGGCTTTGGGCTCATTGCTCGATACCGGGCGTGTGGAGCTTCTTTTCATGGATCAGACAGACCTCTCCAGTATTCGGGCCTGTGCCAAGGAATTTCTCAATCAGAGCTCTAAGCTTAATGTCATTATTAACAATGCGGCTGTGAGTTCATTAATACCGACACAAAAGCGCGACCTCGCTAATTGAACAAAGGTGATGAATACCCCCGAAAGCCGCACTAAAGATGGCTTTGAGCTTCAGTTTGGAACCAATCACTTGTCGCACTTCCTCCTCTTCTATCTGCTGAAAGACACCCTTTTGCAAACCGCACGTTCCTCGCCTGAATTCGCCTCTCGTGTGGTCAGCGTTTCCTCGGCAGCCCATCGCTACAGCCCCATTCCTCTGGACAACGTTAACTGGGAAGGAAACTACAAGGGCTGGCTTGCTTACGGATCTAGTAAGACCGCCAATATCTACATGACCACCCAAATCGAGCGCTTGTATGGCGCCCAAGGCCTTCACGGCTTCAGCGTCCACCCTGGGGCTTTTATGAGCCCCAACCTCCAGAAATATTCTCAGGAGGAAATGAAGTCTGTCTTGGAAGACAAGCGCGCAATGGCATACTTATCCAGTCTCGGACAGGCCTGCGCAACCAGCATATACGGTGCTGTTTCGAGTGAGCTGGAAGGCAGAGGCGGCTTGTATTTGGAAGGCGCATCGGTGGCAATTCATCCGACACCACCGGGTGGAGATGCGCTCGAATATGGATATAGCAGTTGGGCATTTGACCAGGCAAAGGAAGAAGAATTGTGGAAGCTTAGTAAATCCTGGGTAGGAGTCGAGTGAGATCGAATTCCCAGATATTCTTGAGTCGAGTATTCAATTTGAAAATCTTTCGGCCTCTACCTTTCGGAGTCCCACCTACGGAGCTATTCGGCTCTGCGATAATCATAAGTAATAATTCCGGTAGTCACCCCCAGTATCTAGGAAAGTCAAGATCACTCTTTTTCAAAGCTGTGTTGGAGAGTTCAAACTAAATCCAGAGGGGCGTATGTATGCGATCTATGCCTAAGTAATGGCGATCGATCTACGTTGTATCTGCAATGAGGAAAACAACCAGTGTCGATTCGACTAAGATAAAGTGGACGAGAGGAGGAAGTAGAGAAGAGGAGGGAAGCGGAACTATCTACTGAAAGCGAGTACCTGTTTGTCGATGTGCTCTCCCCATATTTCCATCTTCTGCAATGCACTGTACCACCGGCAGTAGCACTTGTTCAACATCTCACCTATTCTATCTACTGCTTCTTGCATCGAAAGACCCTGAGCTCTGAGAAGAAAGATCAAATTATGATCAACTCCCAATGCCTGAAGAATGTCTCAGCTTCGACAGTCTTGGACATGTGCTGCTTGGCCAACCTACCAGATTTTTTTTGTATGATAGAATAACATTGACTCTGTAAAATATTAGCCATCTGAATCTAGTGTTCCATTGGAGCTATCTTGCACCTACAGGAGAACCAGATCTGCTGAGATGCACATACACTCCTCAAGAGAAGAATTGCCCATACATAACCTCCGGTGGAAGATTGATTCCAATGGCGTACCTGGACCTAGTCAATACAGTGCCCACTAGTAGTCTGCTGGGAGGATGAAGTGGTATGGAGAGGGACTCACTCAGTAAGGGCAATAGCTGAGTATGCGCCGATCGTCCCTCTGCGCATATCCATGTACTCTTGGACATCGCGCCCAAGAGCCTGATGACTATGCATTACTTTGACCTGCTTCAACAATCCATCAAAAAAATGTCGATGCATATATTTCCATCGTTGTTGCTGGTCTGCCCTAATGTTAGTAAAAAGATCTGACTTTTGAGCCGCTCTGTCAACAGCCCCAATTCCATGACTTTAGACCAAGCATACCTCTGCCACACCGCTTTTGTGCTTCAAACGATCCCATGTGGTCTAGAAGATAAATCGAATAGGGTTATCATCCCATCGCACGGGGGGCTGTGTGTCCTCCATGATTTCCAGAGTTCGGTTGATCTCTTCTTGGGCTGCTTCTGGATCTCGACTGAGATGACCTTCATCGAACTCTGTATTGATAAACAGGGTCAGCACGCTGGTATTTGAATAGTAAAGGAACTACCATACGATCATCAAAAAGAAAGACCTATTCGTCACCAATCAACATTTTGCTCTAATACTGTATATAAGATACGGTCAGACCTACCCAATGGTTCCAGTCAATCATCATCCTAAGTGCCTCTTGATCACAAGTTGGTGCCCAAATGGAGGCTAGGTAGGCCAGATCTACCCTGGTGTTCCTGGAAGCCCATTTTTTATCGGCCTGGATTATTCTTAGTCTCGTATCAGTTTTGATATCATTACATCGGGGAGCATGGCTAAGCATACTCTGCAATCCAAGCATCTGCTTCTGGATTTACTTTGTGGTAGTTTGGGTTTACCACTGGCTCAACTGCCATGATAGAGGAAAACAGACCGGGCACGAATACGACCTGTGACTTCAACACTTCCGATGGTTTCAAGTCTGCGCCGTAGGTAATATCTGAGAAGGAGCTCGCAGACGATGGTAAGGGCGAGCTTGTTTCATCGAAAGACGTGTCTGAAGACCCCGACCTCTGCTATTCGCTCGGTGTAATTTCCGAGCGCTCCATAGCGGGTAATGGTGATGAATTGAAATGCCCCTAGGAGATGTCGCGCTTAACTCCTGTCCGACAAACTGGCTAGAATAATCGAATGGGAACCTTGGAACGGTCGTGAGATATATATACCAGCCACATATGCATTGTGCAAGTATTAAATTGTGCTTCTATATCTAATATGGAGTCGAGCTCCTTCCTTCTTTATCCCGAGTCAATGATCGCTGTGTATGATAGAACAAGGCTGTGGTTCCGAATCTAGAAGGTTCCGTACTTTCCCGAAAAGGTAATCTCCGAGGGACTTTAGATCTTCGCTCGGATGTATCTACGAATTGTATGCCAGGGCTAGTCCAAGGGGGCACCGAGCCGTCTCCAGATGTCCAGGAATACCAATGCCATTTCCAGGAGCACTAAGATTGTCCCTGGAACACAAGATATCCTAGGACGCCAGAATTGGGTTTACCGGGCGGCAATGGTATCCGGAAGTCTTAGCGAAGGCATTGAAGGGTCAGAAGGATTTTCTTCAGTGATTTTTGATATAATATTAATGATATCTCTTATTGTGAGATGATTGCATTTGCATACGCCTACCTGATATACAGTGCCTCCCACTACAATGAGCAGAATGAGGGAAATCAAAATGGGCTTAGTGCAAGTAGATGAGGTTTGGGATGTTCTGTTTTCTGGCCTGATTCATGAGGTAATAAGCGCAAAGCAATGCCAGAAGATTCATAAAGAATGCTGTATATTCTCTTTCTTATTCTTGTCATTTCCATTCAAGTGCCGGAATCCATGTCTCCGACTCAAGCTAGGCAAGCAAGCCAGCAATTATACATTGACTAAACTGGATCCATATCCACGCAACTTCTGTGCCTCCGTGTGGATAACCTCGCTTTCTCTCCCGTACAAAATACTATGAAGGCTTTTGTTGACCTGCTAAAAGGCATTGCGTGACTCCTTACCGTAAATCGATGTTAATATCTTGACCGATTCAAGAGAAGGGGGGTATAGAATGTGATTATCTATCTTTCCAGTATACAAAATGCAAAATGCAGTATAATGTACATAAAACAAGAGAAGAAAGGGCAAAATATAGTAAATAGTTACTATCTCTCCTATCCCTCCAAGGGACAAATTGCTCAATCAATCACTGACATCGAAACTTGTCCCGCAACCGCAGTTACTTGTTGCACGGGGGTTGTCCACAATCTTGAACTGGCTCCCAATCAATTCGGTAGTATAGTCCACGGTGCTGCCGTGCAACAGCTCGAGTGAGGGCTCATCCATAACGATCTTGGCCTCGCCAGGTGACTGTGTTGTGGCTTCGTCTGCTTCTGCTTCAAACACAGTATCCTCTTCCGGGTCAATTTTGGAAGCCCCCTCTAGGGACATCATATATTGGAAACCATGGCATCCACCACTGGTAACTGTGATGCGAAGATGGTGGTATGGATTCTCTTCCTTAATAGCAGAGGGGGAGGTGGTTGGGTCTGTGATCTCGCGGAGACGCTGCGCTGGGTTAGCTCGGTGATTCACAAAAATAGAAAATAAATAGAAAACCCCCCAAAAGAAGGAGAAGCTAAGAACAAAAAAAAAAAAAAAAGAACATGCAACAGTGAGGATTCGCTGGTGGTCACCCACCCAACTACTAACTCACCGGCGTGTGGCTTAAGTACGGCTGAGCGGACGGGAAGCCCTGTTTTCCACACCCTATGGTCGTATGTGCTTGATACGACAACAGAGGGGAACATAGAGTAATGAAGTACAACTTCGTAGGTGGTGAGGGGTGAGGATGGATGAGAAGGATGAGTGCACAATGATGGGGTGAGAAGAGGATCGATCACCCTCGGGCGACCGCCCTACCCCCCCTTCCAGCTGAATTGCCGCGCCTCAACCAAGTCGAGAATTTTAGAAAACTCCTATGTGCTTCGCTTGGTCTAGGTCCTTGAAGTCTGGAGGTGCTTAAATGTGAGGACGTAGTCGATTGCATCAAGCAACTGCAAAAAGCAGTTGTAGTTTCTGCAGCTGATCTTTTGCCCGCACAGCCGCGAATTTCCGGTCCCATTCAGCGCATTGCTCGTCCTCGATGGTTTGCGCAGCCGTCCCCTTGGCTCCTGGAAGTGTAGAGATACGGTCTGCCTCTTCGCCGTGGCGACCAAGTTCCAGATACCGTAAATCGGCTAGAGAAGAGGAGGTTACATTCACTAGGAGAGAATAGTCAGATAGGAAAATCTGTTATTGTGGACAGTGGACATCGTACCTTGCGTTCGGTTCTTTCTCTTATCAATATCAATGGCAAAAAAAAATAGATCAGCACATCTTCATCTTCGCAGTCGTCATCATCGTCTATCAAGTAATGACAATACTGTGGGAAAGCTTTGGTGTCAAACAGGAAGCTGTCGCTTAGGACGACATTCGCAGGTGCATTCTTCAGAATATGAAAGTCAAGAGGGTAAGGTGAGGTAAATTCATCATCATGGCCAAAACGCCATTCAACATCATAGGCCATACCGGCCGTCTCAGTGACCGAATTATCAGCAAATTTCAGTCTTGTCTGATACTCATGTCTAGTGTGAATGTGCACCCCAATACTTCGTGCGTAAGCCTTGTCCATAATCAATACCTTTGAGCTAGAATCAGCCAGAGCACTCTGTACCTGACCATTAATCGACCCCTCAAACATTGGGGTAGATGCCCCAAGGTATAACAGATGGAACTGCGAGATACCTTTGGCGAATCTTTTTTTCACACGACGATAGAAATTGACAACGTTTGAGAACGTCCGAGTGAGCTTCAAAAATGGCTTCCCAATGATCACATCGTGGATGCAGTTGGGGAGAAGCTGGAATTCAAGGTTGTGCACCTCGTTTTCGCTGCTGAGCCGGAATGGCACAGTTGCAGTTCCCGTAGTCGTCACTTGGTTCCCACTGCCGATGGTGATTTCGCAAGTGGCATTCTGGCTTATTGGTAATCCTAAGCTAATGGCATATTTTTCTTTCATGAAGTTTCTTTTTGCCCCGTAATCCCCAACCGCGTTGGTGGAATGCTCTGCGAGTTGACAAGGTATTTCGAAGATGCGCACCCCGCGATTAGTGGAAAAAGCACTTTTTGAGTCCGATTCTTGTAACATATATGGCCGACCTAGAGTCTTTATATTTTCAATGACCCAACTACAAAGTTGGGTTTGGTTATTGCGTATACGTTTGTCTTTGCTCTCAGTATTGCGTTATTGACTAATGCTAGGAGAATGGAAATATATGGTGCTACAGCCGCTTATGCTGCAGTATTAGTTGTGTCTTTTTCAGGAAATTCAGGGGCAGTACTAGCCTGAGCCGTCCAGTTCTCGCCGTTCTCACTCTCTCGTCCTATTCACCCACACTCACCCTAGGAGAATTTACGTTACGGATCTAAAGTTCTTGAGGGCGCATATCAAATTAACCGAACGGACTATGTGCTATATGACCTATGTACGGCCAGTAACCAGGTACGGCCCGAGCGAGATCCTGCGGGCGGTAGGAGACTGCAGTGTCGATGATCAAAGCTGCAGAGACCAATCAATATTAAGACGGAAATGAATATAGATCTGTGATTGGAGAAAATAGATAGCACAGTCTAACCTTTTGGGGATAGGCCGTGAATCAGAACTCTTCCATGTTAGTCGATCTTGAATTTATAAGCAGTCTTTGGGGGCCAAGTGTAGATAGATATTTAGCGGGGTTTCAAAGCTCATTTTGCTTTGCATTCTCAAAGTCCTCATACCCTAAATCTTCCCTGTTTCACTTTCACAATGTCGGTTGGTCCTGATCTTGATGATGACGCTGTATTGAAATGGCTCGAAGCGGTAAGGCTATTTCTTCTAGCAAATCGCAGCACAACTAATTTACAGCGATATTTAGTTCCACCGAGCGAGCGCTACTCTCAACACCGATCAGTGGCTTGATGAATTCATGACCGACGATGTGGAAATGCAATATGCAAATAACCCTGTGATCAAGGGCAGCGAAGTGCGGCAGATGTTCAAAGCCGTCCTCGGCCAACTGGACATGATGACCCACGAGATCCGCTACTTTGACTATGTCGCCCCTCGTATCTATCAAGCCGCAACCATCCGATATCTCGTCAAAGGAGACAGCCTAGACACCGACCAAATCACTATTCCAGGCTTTGCTGTCTTCTCCATTCGGAGGGACGATGACGGGCGTGTAAAGTGCTACCGGGCAGAGACATTCCTGGAACCATCGGCATTGTTTCAACGAATGGCTGAAAAATCAAGCCAACCTTAGAATATTCGTGGTAGGCATATTGGTGGTTGAGGTGATAGACTTGATATCTAGACCATTACTGCATGTATCCATGTTTGCATGGTTTGTTGTTCTGATATATATTTCTACCATACACCAATGATCTATTTACAAATATGCCAACTCGTCTGATTGATCTATAACCAATAACTCTGCTTTGTCCACAATTTTAAAAAACGATGCTATTCCCAGATCACCCCACCAATTCATCTGATCTCTGTACATATATCCTCAAGGAAGTTTCATTTGATATAGTCCTCGGCATGTCAGATTTTAATTTCCTTACTTAGTTATGTGGTTTAGCGTAGTAATTTTTAATGCCAAAGACTTTCGTCTTTGTAGAATTTACCCGCTGGCCTTGAATATGCATATGCCGTGATGATATGGGACCCAAGTTTTGCTATTTTGTTGAGATGCTAGGTCTTCTACTACTTGCTGCTGAATGCTGCTGAATGCTGCCCAAACAGGTGACGGATTCAAGTCATAAGCTACCTTAATTCCAATATAGTAAAAAGATAGATGAAGTGCTAGAGCTGTAAAAATGCGAATCATCTTTAAGTATGACAATGCAGAGGGTTCTACCTACTGCTCTATAACTACCCTATGACTTTACAATCCTCTTCTACTGGTAAGCTCATACATACGACCATAGGGTGTGGAAAACAGGGCTTCCCGTCCGCTCAGCCGTACTTAAGCCACACGCCGGTGAGTTAGTAGTTGGGTGGGTGACCACCAGCGAATCCTCACTGTTGTATGTTTT